GAGCCCTGTGGGCCAAGAAATGGTAGGTGTCGTATATATGGAAGTACGACACCGGTGTCGTATATAACACTACCGAAACAGGAAGTGCAAGCATGATTACATTCGGACCCAAGTGGCTTAACCGTCAACAGCATGAACTGTTTTCTGGCTACGCACGTTGTCGTCAACTAATCTCGTCATTGCGAGACACGTCGTGCATCCTTTCCACCAAGGATAGTCACCACATGCATGAAAATAATCCATCGACGCTCCATCCATACTGTACGAACAATAAGTGCAAGGTTGGATCAGCACCGCAGCCAGTCACCGTGGACGTGAACCAGTTATGCGACGTCCCAATAAACTTGATGCGATTCCCATTTCAGAGCTTTTCCCCTGTCCTGCTATTCGCGTTTGCAGTGACCGCTACCACCGCAGGCAGCTTCTTCCACCCTCGTCTTCAGACCTGCCACATCGAACAAAAATTTCAGTATGTGCCATCAGGCCTAAGTGCAATCAACGCATAGTGCATGGGGCATGCCTACAAGACGGTCCAGTGGAGCACGAACCTATTTTCGACCTGGTTCCAGGTAGTTCCGAACACCCACCGTGTCTGAGTGGTTTTCCCCAAGGTTCTTCGAATGGATTAGGAAGGGCCTTTCCAATAGTGTACTTCGACTGTGGACGGTTGAGATGCAGAAATTAATCCAGTGCGCAAACCGCATGAATATTCGCGAACACTTTCGGGTGACAAAACCGATAGATGCGTGCACCAGGTACGAAGTACACACAGGCCGTGGGTTGCGGCCGCATGCGGAAGCTCAGAGCACAGAAACCTGTCGTCTATCGCTTGACACCGCGTTGTAACATTGATTCATCGTTGGCAATCTACCTGGTATACAGTCGTGCACAACGGGGTACAATTCAGTCAATATGGGATCAACAACTGCGGGCCCAGCACATTTTCTCGTATGGCTCGCGCGTAGGGTTTGCATCTGCTCGTAGTGACTTGACCTCAGCACATTCGCCGTGCATACCAAGCAGTGGGTTACAATGAGGGAGCGATCTACCAGAACTAAACCAATACGACCGCAATGTAAGGACTTCATGAGATTGCCTGAAAAATTTTAATGGCTCTTGCTCAACAACCCCACCGGGTTTTTTAGGGGTGTTGGCACATTGGGGTGTTCAGAACCCATGTTATTTTCGAATATCGCTTGTTGGCACCGCCCAGCGAGTGACTCGTCTTCAGTTTACTTGCCCAGGCATGCAGTCGTTCAAAGCGTGTCAGAGTTGGATGAATCGCAAAAAAAGGACTCCACGAGAGGTCCTGCAAAATGTGAATGGCACTCACCTGCTTGATCAATAACACCGCTCGGTTGTTCAGCCACGCGGCAAGATTTCGGTGCTCTAGACCAAGTGCTTTCTCTCCAATAGTGATTGCTCTCACGTACAACGGTTCCACTTCGCCGAGCTTGCCCTACGAAGTGAGCGGACAACGGGATGGGGTTGTTGTTGTTGTTGTTTCTCACATTAGCTCTGTAGTCCACAAAAAATGGGAGCCCGTGGTCTCAAAACCCGGCACATACGACGCCGCGGGGAAACACAACAGAAATAGGGTACAAACCACTCGGAAACAGAAAACACGATGGAAAGAAAAGAGCAGGTACCGCACCGACCGTTCGAGAAAAGAGCCCTCGGAAACCGATCAAAATACCACAAAAACAAAAATAAAGAAGGACGCTTGCCACACCCGCCTTAAGAAAAATCAAAGGGTAACGTATCAGCACCAGGCACTGCGCACCAGGGCATGGGAGTAACGGAGCAAACAGGACAAAGAGGCGGCAGATAGGCAGACAGCCAGAGGTACAAAAACAAAAGCAACAGCAAAGGCGAGATCAAGGTACCCAACACAGCAGAGTAGGCAGGGAGGACATGAAAAAAAGAAACACAGCACAGAGGCCGAAGGCAATACAAAGGACATACATAAAGGAGTAAAGCATACAGCAGGGAGGGAAACAGGGCGCAACAACATCAGCCGGGTACATAGTTCGCCACAAGTGCTGCCTCGGCCGCCCTACTCGCTTCTACAGTAGTGTCCGGTTGCCGTTTCTTACCCCCGACCGCCGCTTCCCCGACTCTCTTTCTCTTCGGTCCTGAGGTGGCCGTACTCTCTGCTTCTGCTTCCCTCGGGCGCTGGCGCTTCGCGGACGCTTCCGCCTCCTACGTGTGCAATTTCCTCATTAGCCATGCCGCCCCGTCCTCGACCTTGTTGTACCTCCGGGTCCTTGGCGCTCACTTTCCATTTGCCCCATTCCTTTTCGTCTCCCATGTTGAAGGCCACGAGATCCTCTCCTAGACGAGACACCCAGTCGCTCCCTGCCCGCCCCGGTACCCCACGCCCCCCGCCATCGCTCCTAGCAGCATGCGCTTGGGGAGGCGATTGTCCTCCATGTGCATGACAAAGCCCGCGAAACACAGTCTCCGTTTGCGCACGGTGGCCTCGATGGTTTCCTCGCAGCCTGCCTGGATGAGAGCCTTGGCATAGGACAGGGGGCGGTCTGAGCGTTTCCACTTGCTCCAGCCGATACACCGTGTCAGGAACTGGCGGTGGGTCCCATTCAGCTTGGTGT